ATTGGATTATTTACCTTTATCTTGTTGTGGTGCTCAAGTATTTTATAAATTCTGGATATCTGACATGTCATTACCAAATGCTTGTTCCTAGTCTATGGCTTCCCTTTTTAACCTGTTGAAGTTTTTGGATGTGCATAGGGATTTGATTCTTAGAAGATCCCATTCTTTTATTTTATCTTCTCCTGGTTGTAGGTTTGTGGTTTTTTAAATTGAGATTTTAATGAAAGTTTATAGAGAACTTAGATTTCCATTCATTCATTGTTGCATCTTTTCCTCCCTGCCCACCTTCCCCAGTTCACTTCCCTTTGGGGAAAAAAATCTTTCTTTGTTGTACTGAGTTACCTTTTTGGGTAATTTTGTTCATAATAATGTTTATATTGCTTAAAAGTTTTCATACATAGCATTTCTAGCATCATTGAAGAAAAAAAAGAAATGTTTTCCCCGATTTGTTTTCTGATCAAAAATGAAAAACACATATTTTAGTATGATAAAGTCAAAAGCAAATTGAATAAAGTATTATAGGGTTTGTCTGAAGTTAACCTATTTATTTTTTTATTACCAGATGGAGCAAGAGGCTGAGAGACGTAGACAACCACAAATAAAGCAAGAACCAGAATCAGAGGAAGAGGAGGAAGACGAGAAGAGCCTGTAGAAGAGGAAGAGGAACCAGAGCAGAAGCCTTGTCTGAAACCCACTCTGAGACCCATCAGCTCTGCTCCATCCGTTTCCTCTGCCAGTGGCAATGCAACCCCCAACACACCTGCGGATGATTCTCCCTGCGGTATTATTATTCCTCATGAAAACTCACCTGATCAACAACAGCCTGAAGAACATAGGCCAAAAATAGGACTTAGTCTTAAACTGGGTATGTTACTATTTTCTTCCCTATTTTTTTCTGACAGATACCAAATTTTACCTTAAGAACTAAATAAATAAATATGTGGTACTTGGTAGCTAGATAGAAAAATCTTAAAAAATGAATTTCTAGCTCACAATTGTTTTCATAGTTCTACTAGTGCTCCTATATCTGCAGCTGCTTCAAGTTCTGAGAAGAAATGAAAAGTTAAATTTTCTAGCACTTGTGAGTAGTGAGTTACTTTTTACAGTTGGGATCTTCTCTGAGACTTGTAAACACAATGGTTTGTTTTCTACTGTTCTTGAGGGATGGTGGGTTGTCAAGTTTAATGTTTGCACATTTGGTTATCATGCTAAGATAATGTTTTTACTGTAGGTGCTTCCAATAGTCCTGGCCAACCTAATTCTGTGAAGAGAAAGAAGCTACCTGTAGATAGTGTCTTTAACAAATTTGAGGATGAAGACAGTGACGATGTACCCCGAAAAAGGAAACTGGTTCCTTTGGACTATGGTGAAGATGATAAAAATGCTGCCAAAGGCACAGTGAACACAGAAGAAAAGCGCAAGCACATTAAAAGCCTCATTGAGAAAATTCCCACGGCCAAACCTGAGCTCTTTGCCTATCCCCTTGATTGGTCCATTGTGGACTCAATATTGATGGAACGCCGAATTAGACCATGGATTAATAAGAAAATTATAGAATACATAGGTGAAGAAGAAGCTACATTAGTTGATTTTGTTTGTTCTAAGGTTGGTATTTTTATGCTCTTTGCTCCCAAATTTTGTTTAGTAATTTAAAACACTATAGACATTTTCTAAAACAAAGTATCAATTTTGATGGTAGTTAAGTGATTCTGCTTTCTTGAACCTTTAATCTCTTACTGCAAGACACACACATCCCACTACATACTTTCAGGGCATCATACATCATGGCATTGTGAGCCAGAGTATTTCATATTGTCCCCTTTTCTTAATGATAAGAATATTGGTCAAATAACAATTAATGGAGATTTTGTGAAGACAGTGGGAAGAAAAGTCCTTTGTAATATTTATTAATATCTACTAGCATTGTGTTTCATGTTTATGAACATTTATCTCCTTTAATCCTCCCAATAATCTGGAAGTGCAAGTTGCTAATACTATCATTTTGGTGTTCCTTTAATAAATTAAGAAATTGAGGCCTTGTGATTGTGTCTTGATCAACTTATATCTACAAAACAGATGGAAGCTTGTAAAACTTATCATCAGAGCGCACCATCTCTTTCCATTGTGTCCTGATTTAAGACATTTAGTATAGTAGAGCACTTTGCTTTTGTTCAAGTATGTCTAAATGCATTTTACAGGTATAGTATTCTTCTTGTCTCTCAGCACTCCTCCTATTAGGAAGAACCGACCTAGTCTGCATTTCTATTTAGGATGATCATAGAATTAAAACATTTGAGGTTTGGTTTTGAAGATCGTTATTTTCATGATTAAGTTCTCCTATTTCAGTGCCATATTTAAGACATTTGGCTTATAGGGAATTGAGAAAGTTCCTCAGACACTTGACTCCTGTACAAATTTCAAAATATGTCCCTTAAATTTCTGCTGATTTTTATTTTCTGAGTGACAATTAATTGTTTCTTTCAGGTTATGGCTCATAGTTCACCTCAGAGCATTTTAGATGATGTAGCCATGGTAAGTTAGAAATTTTCTCTTACATATTATTTATTTATGTGAACAAGGAGTAGCTTGCAATTTTAGTTTTTCTGTATGTCGTATTCTGTCTTTTATTGATAGGAATTGAAATGTATTTTTTCCAAAGATAAAATAGAATATGTTAGCATTCTGTGACATTAAAGATAATATTTTCTTGTCAATAGTTCCTTTTTTATTTATATAAATATATAAACTTAGATGCCCAGTCTTCTCTTATGTTAGAAACCTTGTTATTTTTTTTTTAATCTTTTCATATGTTTATTGTCCATGTGTATATTCAACATTATTCTTGATCCTTTCATGTTTCATTTGTTCAGACTTGTTGTCAACACCTAGCAACTAACTCTTGGAGACTTCATTTGTTGTGTTAAACAGGAGCTTAATAGAGTATTTTCAGTGACTGGTTTTTTGAAAGTAGATGGCAGGCCTTTCATGGTAGGTAACTTGATAGATGTCCAGATGGCTAGAGGCTTGCCATTTAAAATGTAGGCAAGAAATGGCAAGAGGACTTCCTAACCAAGAATGAGCTCTGACGTCAGTGGATATTCATAGCCAGCTAATACTTATTTTCTCCCCAAATGGCCTTAAAGAATTACTTGAATTTGAATTCCTTATAAAACATTTGTGAAAAATTTGTCTGTGTACAGATAAAATGGATGAAAGGCAAAGAGTCAGAAAAGCACTGAATGTTGAATAAACTGTGGAATTTTGCCTTTTTTTATCTTAGTAATTCTATTTCTCAGTTTCTTATATGAGTTTTGAAGGTTTTTCTTAAAGTTATGTTTTGGTAAGTGTAGTTTACTCAGCAAAGTAAGTATATTTCCATTTAAGTGGTTTTATTGAAAATAAATGCTGAAAGTGTTTTTGATGGTTTTTTAAAAGATATATATTAAGACTGTACCCTTCTTTTTCTTCTAGGTACTTGATGAAGAAGCCGAAGTTTTTATAGTCAAAATGTGGAGACTATTGATATATGAAACAGAAGCTAAGAAAATTGGTCTTGTGAAGTAAAACTGTTTTTAGTCTTCTCTTTGATACTTCTTTCCCACCATTCAGAGGACTTCGAATTTTTCTTTGTCCTCAAAGACATTTGTGAAATCTGTAATTTTTTTTCCAATGTAGAAAATGTGAATTTTGTTTTGTCCTCCAATTTGGTGATGCCCCTGTGTACTCCCTTGGTTGTAAATTCATCTGAGTCTTATCTTGGTTTTCTTTATACTCACCAGGTACAATTACTGGTATGTTTTATAAGCCGCAGCTACTGTACACAGCTATCTGATATAATCTTGTTCTGCTGATTTGTTTTTGTAAATATTAAAATGACTCCCCAATTCTTTTGCAGAATTGCACTTAATATTGAGCTGTACTGTTCAGGAATGAACAGAAATGATTTTCATTGAAAGAATACCAGTCACAACTCTTCCCCCCTTTTAATCAGAAATAGCAAGTCCTCATTGAAGGTGTGGAATTTAAAATTAGAATTTAAGAATTAGTGGACAATCCATTCCATCTTTACTCCTGTATGAAAGCGTTTGTGTGATTGTGCAAAAGATTTCTTTTCCCTCAATTTGCTCTTTTGAGAGTTTCCTTAAATACTTTTCTTACAAAAGAATAGAATGGGAAAGGAAAAAAATGATACTGTGCCAACCCAAATGTCTGGAATAATTAGATAGTAGTCTTCCAGAGAATAGTATTGTGTTGTTGTACACATCATTTTCGTGAACAGGATCAAGTTTTCCTGTTCATAGCTGACTGTTTCATCCTCTCTTTTAAGGGAGTGTGAATCATAGTAATTTTCCCCTTAATTTTATTGTTTATAAATGAGACAGAGCCTTATATTCTAAAGGCTTAACTTATTTTGATGTCCCTTTGGAAATTTTTTTAGGAGAGAAAGAATCTACCTCCCAAAAGCATAAGAATTGAAGAAAAAAAAAAGGAAATCCATTTTATAAAAATGGTCTTTTTGAAAAAACAACTGGACCAGAAAGATAAATGAAGCTGGCAGTTTGAACACTAGGGACTATGACTTATAAAGAGAATTCAGCTTGGCAATTTACAAAGTTTATATCTTAATTTGAAGGAAATATAAGAATTTGTGGCATTTCTCAACCACTACTAATTTTTCTTCTGTTAAAAGATCATATTGCCTCTGTTTACTCATACACAGATAAATGGCTTTATCTATGTTCATCAAAGTTTGAAAATACACTGATTATACTCTAAAAGACACACAGGCAGTCTTGTAGGTCAGAACTTTACCAGGGAACAAAATTACCTGAAAATTAAGACATTTTAAGCAGTTTGTAAGACAGGTGCTGCTGTCTCATGTCAGTTTATTTAAAGACAAAAGGATAACTGTGAGTTAGAGTTACTAGATCTTTTTTTACATCTTAAGAGGTCATTTGAAAACACTGTTCTTAACATTGGAACATAAGATGGTTTCATTATGTAAATATTTCAGATATTAAAAATGTATATATTTGATCTCTGAGGGACTCCATTCTTTCAGTCTTAATAAATGGAATTATGATATAATTGTGCAGTGTATACTAGAAAACTTAATTTGAAAATTATTGGTTGTACTTTAGAGAGTTTGATTTTTGGGCGGGTGGGAAGGGCTATTTGCTATTTCCTTTTCCCCGTACTAGTAGCTAAAGGTCCAAGGGGTCATTTACCATTTTGGATGAGTCTACTATCAAGCCTTAGAATTTAATATATACTCATTTCTGTTAAGTTGGAACCAACTCATAGCTGATCCTCCAGTTTGTTTTCAGAGGCTGTAAATTTCAACAGAGGAGACTGCTCATTTCTTTGGAGCCTCTAGTAGATTTGTGCCTGCCTTTGGGTTCAAGTGCAACTCCTTATCCACTAGGCCACCAAAGCTGCCCCAAAGATCCTTTCTTTATTTTTTCTTCTCTTTTAAATTTAGGTTGTTTATTTTTCATTTCAATGAACATCTACAGAGATTTTGGAATTCCATTCATTCATTGTTGCACCCTTCTCCCCGCACA